TGGACAAACATTTAATCAAAAAGAGTATGTACACCTTTTTATGTCCAGGCGTGTTTGTTTCGAATGTTTTGTCTTGAACACGTATAAAGGAAACATATTTGACACATCATCTTGCTTCAGATTACATTAATTTTTTTTTATATTTTTAGGCTACATTTTGATGAAATAACATTAAAAAATAAAAGATATGAGTCTAGTAAGTTATCTTTCAAATGAATCATAACAGCAGAGTATGTGTCCTTGAAAAACAGATCCAAAAAAAGCATCGTGCTACTACAAATTTTAAAATTTGAGGTGTATTTCGTACATGCATTTTATTTTATTTTCAATAAACATTTAGACATATAAATATTTTATTCATGAAATGTTCTAAAATAGGACAAGTCGGACACACCGTTTACACACATATCCTTTAATATTTTCTAATAGCCCTTGACGACAGACTTTACTTGTGGATCTTTTTAATGAATAAGTTCCAAAATAGAATCATATTTTGTGTGTGTTACCTAGGGTAATTAGTCTTCAACCTCTGAAAATTTTAGTCAGCCATTCCACGAAATATTTAGTAAGAAGTTTTTAGTGTTGTGGGGACGTTCGAAAAATTCCCATTGACGACCGATCAGACAATAGTTTTAAAAAGACAAAAGGCCTCAAAGTACATTAAATGATGTTTAGTGGCTAGTATAATACAATTGTCATGTAAGGAGTGTTATGATGCTATGTAGATAAAGTTGTCGGTTTTCAAGACATACATTGACAGCTCGTCATCATTACAATGGCTTCTATTCTAAAGATTGAAAAATATACGTGACTTTATCGGGGGATATTTCTAACGAAGTAGTATCCTGACTGTACAAAAAGAAAAAAAAGAACTGATTCACAAGACTACTAAGACCGACTGCCTCTTCTTAAGTAAATGGAAGTGATCGGTCGATAACATGACTTACTGGTAGCAAAATCTTTCAAAAATGAAAAACCACCAATGTCATTGACACTTACTACGTAACACCCTTGAGGTTTAACATGTTTAGCACTCAAGAAACAAAAATAAACCCGTTCCCGTGTTTGAGGCCCATCACCAGAAGTGACCCGTCAGCCTTTTACGTTGAACTTAACATTCTCTAGAATGAAATTGCTGTCCCTTCGTAGGTAAACGGTATTTATTAACAGAATTATCGATTGATTCTATCCACTATTCAATCCCTAGAATGAACTTTCTGTCCCTTCTGAGCTAATTGGTACTAGTCGATAGTGATTTGTTTTGTTATTTTATACCTAAGCATAAAGACATTTGTTATGAAAGAATTGTTTTGGCACTGCAGATCCTGTTGGCAAAGGATAGGGAATAAACGAATTTTGTTTTGTTATTTTTGACCTTAGCATTCAGTCTTTTGTTATGAAAGAATTTACTTTTGCACAAAATGGTTAACTAAAGTACAAAATCAAGGAGCTACACATTATTATATCAGTATCTACATCACGGAAAGTTTGATGTTTACCAAGAAGTACGCCAGCATGTCGAATTATCATCAAATCCAAGGTTAGAATCATATACATTAACACATAATTAAGATTTGGCCTCAATAATGTTAAGTAATGTACTTTACCCTCAAAAGTAATGTTAACAAAACATCAGTCAAAATGCAGCGGTAAGACTGACTGATATTTCTAATTACTTTGTACCTGTTTATCTGTAGCCTATCTTGTACGATCATTCTACACCAATCAATGTATTTTCCGTTAGTATTAATCCTAGAAAATGTTTTTTTAATAAGGAGTTGCGAAGTAACAAGGACTATTCTTATCGTCGGAAGTATGTGTTTACAGCGTTAACTATTGACCAGCAGTAGCGTTCATTTAAGTGCCAGTCTTTGTAAGAATCAGGCAATTTAGAAGAATTTCAAACCATGGCCGAAACAAAACCGCCGACCTAACCATCCTATTTTGCAGTTACCCCTATTCTGAGTTAGAATTGGTAGGTCTTTCTTTTCTGCGTGTCTGGTAATTCGAGAAATATCTAGATCACTTTTGGTTAGAATGATAGGAAATCACGGAGTTAGTTCCCCTTAATTATCAATTTCTAGACTTATAATGAAAACTTGGAAAACAAATAACAAATTATGTCCGGGTCCAATTTCCTTTCTTTGCTGTTTTGCTTTTCCAAATTTATATTTAGAAGAGATACACCTTTCATTGATAAGGTTATGACGAACATAACTGCACAATTTGGAACTCGATCCACGACCAAATGAACGATGAACGATGTTCTACTGTCCAAAAATTTGATCGACATAAGTTATATCTGTTTTTTCTTAGAAAAAGAAAAACAAGTCATGATAAACTTATTTCAATAATTTACCGACAGTACGTTTTCTGTGAAACTTTAGACTGTCCTTCTTATGCAAACGGTACTAATACGCAGAGCAAAAGATTGTTCAATAGAATATACACATTCTAGAATAACTGGCGTAGGTAAAATGAATTAAACAAAAAAAAAAAGGATTCATTATACATAATATATTAACTATACATTTTCTCAAAGCCTTGACAACATTTCTGTACATTTCGGCAATAAAGTTTATCGACGTGTTGTAGGTATTCCTATGGGCACCAATTGTACCCCTTTAATGGCAGACTTGTTCCTATACTGTTATGAATCATAGTGTATGGCTAAACTCGGTAAATATATGTCTACATTCCATTTAATTGATAAATTCAACAACACTTACAGTTATCTTAATGATATTTTTTCGTTAAATAATCAAGAATTCTTTTAATATACTGCTGAATTATCCAAAGGAACTTACTTTAAATACATCAAATATTAACAGCAATAGCTGTCCTTTCCTAGATTTAGATATTTCAGTATTACACCAAAAACTCCACACAACAATTTACGACAAAAGGGGTGATTTTTCTTTCCCTATTGCTAATTTTCCTTTTTGGACTGTGATGTTCCTTTGGCACCCTCCTACGGTGTTTGTATATCCCAGTATGCTCGTGTCTGTAATGACGTTTTGGATTTCAATAAGCGTTATATATGTATTACTAGTAAATGATCAAGTCAGGGATTTCGTTACCACAAATTACTTAAAAACTTTACTAAATTCTTCCATAGATACAAAGATTTGGTTTGCCAGATTTGCTGTAGCTGTAGAAAACTTATTTCAAATGGAATAGCAAATCCTAAATTTTACGGTGATGTTGTTAATCGAGCCCGGAAATGTAGATACGATTCGGGTAAACTTATCAATCCTTTAAATAAACTTATTCGTAAAGGTTACCAATTCAACACTGTAAATAAATCTTTGAATATTGTTTTTATTGGTATACATACTGATTTTGTTATCAGTAAATTAAAACCATACTAAATATTACACATATGTACTTTCACGGTACTACAATCTGTCGATACCTATATTTTGGCCATTGCACAGGGTCATGTTTTTCTCTGACTGTTAATGACGTCTTTACAGTAAATCCATTGGATGTTGGATGTGTACTGCCACGTCCTGTCTGTGTTTTTGTTTGATGTTTTTGCTTGTATTGATCTGATGAGATAAGCCTTTTACAACTGATTTTTATAGTTTGTTCTTTTGTTGTGCTGTTACACCACTGTTCCATGTTAGGGTGGAGGGCGGCTGAGCGCTCACAAACATGCTTTACCCCGCCACATTCTTTATATGCCTGTCCCAAGTCAGAAGCCTGTAGTTCAGTGGTTTCGTGAACTATTTTGTAAGAAATTAGGTCGTTAGTTTTCTGAACTGAATTGTTTCATATTTTTCATGTTGGGGCCTTTTATAGCCGACTAAAGTGTAATGGTTTTTCTCATTGTTGTACGGTTGTCTATAATTGCTTACATCCACTTCATTTGCACTTTGGTAGATAGTTGTCTTGTTGGCAATCATACCACATCTCCTTATTTTTATATTCTATAGAATGTCCCGGCTTTCCCTTCGCAAGTTAAAAGTACTAAACAGAGACCTTGTCTGATTCTTTAGATTATTGACCATCCTCTGGCTTCAGAATTATTGTTAAACAGAGGTAGTTATTAAAAAACTTAAGGATCTGTTCGAGTATGTAAAGGTCTAACTCAGACTAAGTCTCTGTTCTCTTTACCTACTTTATCAATGGTCCACTTTAATAAACGAAACGATTATTGTTCGAATCCTGATTTGTATTGATTGCTTTAAATTAAAACTCAAAAAGTAAGACCCGGTTGTATTCATAAATATCTATTTCAATAAACCCATCATAGATACCAGGATTAAAATTTGTATGCCAGACGCATGTTTCGTCTTCAAAAAACTCATAAGTGGCGCTCGAATATACAATCAAAAGGCCATTTAAAGTATGAAGTTGAAGAGCATTGAGGTCCCAAAATTACAAAAAGGTTTTGCCAAATACAGATAAGGTAATCTTAAAATTGTCCTTCATAGCGGCACATCCGCGTATTACTTTCTAATGTTATCTAAAATGGTCACGACGAATGGGTATCCAGTCTAAATTTAAACGGTTTAAAGTGGAAGAAAAAAATATAACAAAATATGACTAAGAACAGCTATTATAATATATTTTCGAATATATTTTGATTTTTAACTGCTATTGGATGGTGAAATTCTATAAAATGCCGCTATGTTTATTGTGGTCTAGATATTAAAGTAGGATGATGGCTATCTAAATACTGATAAAATTATTACTGTAACATTAGTGAAGTATTTGATATGAATACAGAGAATACAAATTAATGGGAGAGATATAAAGTCATTTCTGATATTTATCTTATTATTAATATTATACTAATGCTAGATAAATACTTCTATTATCCCGAGCTATCGTACCTGATGAGTAATCACAAATTAAGAGGTATAAAGAAACCTTCGCCTACTTGACGATAAGAAGTGTCGATCTCCGCGAATTGAAATATCACTTCGAAAGAGCAATTAGCTGTAAATAAACAGCAAGACAAAAGAAGTACTTGACTGACTTACAGACGGGTTATTAGAGCAAATGAAAGAATATAAATAGTTTGAATAATAAGGACTAAGTCAATACACAACAAACAACATAAGCAAGAAAACTTCATAATGTTTAAAATGTTGATTTATGGATTCGCATTGTTTTGGTTGACATCAGTGACCACATTAGAAACTGAAAGTGATGTAGAGGTTCGTTTACTCGATAATAAAAATGGTTCATTAATGGCTACATTTGACATGTTTAAAGCATACGATCGTGTTAAGCAGTTTGTAAGTGATGCTATTAAAACGAAAATGACAGATATAGAGAAGAATTTTAATCAGCAAATTGAAAATATTGAAATAAACTTGACTGTTCATTTTACGGTTAACCTACATGGAATAGTTAATGAAAACGGTAAGAAATCTACATTTGTTTACAAGTTTATATCCTTTGTGTTTTACTATTACATGACATTTTTAATTAGTTTTTTACTTACGAGTTTGGGGGCCTCGGTGGCCAAGTGGTCTAAGTAGTTACTACTGTAATCACTAGCCAGTCAACACTGAGGTTGTGAGTTCGAACCCCGCTCATGCGGGTGCACTCGACTCTAATCTTAATTGACTAGGATTGTCAGTTTTCCTATCGGAGGTCGGTGGTTTTCTTCGGGCACTTCGGCTTCCCCCACCAATGAAAACTGGCCGCCACGAAAGAGCCCAAAAGCGGTGCTTAAAAGTTGCGTTAAAACACCAAAAATCAAAAATCAAACTTACGAGTTTGAATATTCCTTTGGTATCTTTAAATACAATTTTTGTATCGACTATTGACATTTACATTCACTGAAAGTCCTATTTCAACATTCCAATTCCTAAGACACAAATTACACTTTGTGTGAATAAAAGTAAATTATGTCAACGAGACAGCATTGGACCGACAAATATATACTAAAGACTGACACATGTACAGAACATGTGTATTTAGGAAGAAAATCAGGATAAGATCTTACTCCACTATAAAAAATAAGAATATTTGAAATGATTTTCAGTGAGACAACTATCAACCAGATACCAAAGGACATAGTTGTTTGCAAACATAGGTCACTGTCGGGCCTTCAACAATGAACAACACACATACCGTATAACAAGCTATAAAAGGCTTCGAAATGAAAAAATGTAACACCGTTCAAACCAGAAATATCAACAGCCTGATTGTTTGTGCAAAATAATAAACAAGAATACAAATAGGACATATAGTAACCAAAACCAACAAATGAATCATAGGCTCCTGGATTTGAAAAGGCACTTACAGAATGTGGCGGTGTTAAAAATGTTTCCGAGCGCTCAATCCTCCCCTAATTTGGACACTGACCTAATAGCATTACATAAGAACAATCTATGAATATCAATTCAATCGGACTTAATTCATTAGACCAAAGAGAATATTGAGAAACCTTCATTGGTAACAATGTTCTAAACAAACTACCCACCCACTCCCTACAAATAGAAAACAATCTAATAAAGGTCAAGAAATCAAACAACAAATGCCGACATGACTTTTGAAACATAGGTGCCGATTTGACTTGTTCTCCTGTCGTTCCATAGAATGACCTATTGGAAGCAAAGTCTTTCAAAAGTGAAATACCTAAAGGGTAAATGACGCTTACGTCCGAACTCTCCTGAGGTTTTACAGAAATTAAAGTTTTGTGGTCTTTGAGCTTATGGGGTAGGTTTTGACGACTCAAAGACCATAAAAAAACTACTTTTGACCTATTGTTCTATTAATAAATGTCGGTAATGGTGTGTTGGTTTGGTCTTTGTGGAGTTTCGTCAAAAATTTAGAAGTAATTGTTTACCTGAGATTTGTATTCCATAAACATGATCAAATCTCATCTTTTCTACTTCTGATTAAGTTAACACATGATATGAATAATTAAAACCGTTAAAATAGAATTTCAAAATATTGAAATAAAATACAAACTATTATTACATGTTACTTTTATTATTCTTCCCTTAGTTTATTTATTTTGTATTTACATTGTGTCATAGGTCAAATTTATTTGTTCAGTGTATGTTCAATGATGTTAATATGTCCTTTGATTGAGTTAAGCTATTTCAGTTGATATTTTATAGTGTGTCTTTCTATGTTGTGATGTTACACCATTGTTTCAGAAAAAGGGTAAAGGTTTGGTACCATTAAAACGTTTAAACCCGCTGCATTTGTTTGCACCTGTCCTAAATCAGGAATCTGATGTTCAGTAGTTGTCGTTTGTTGATGTGGTTCATAAGTGTTTCTCGTTTCTGGTTTTTATATAGATTAGACCGTTGGTTTTCCCGTTTGAATGGTTTTACACTAGTAATTTTTTGGGGCCATTTTATAGCTTACTTTTCGGTGTGAGCCAAGGCTCCGTGTTGAAGACCGTACTGTGACCTATAATGGTTTACTTTTATAAATTTTGACTTGGATGGAGAGTTGTCTTATTGGCACTCATACCACATCTTCTTATATCTATTAGTTTCATTTATTAATATTTGAACATGTAAAATGAAACACTGTTCATTTCAATTCACATTATTTATTTGTAAAATTTCTTTTTGTACAAAATGATTGACTTAAGTACAAAATCAAGGAACTAAACATTATTATTTATAAGTATCTATATCACGGAAAGTTCGATGTTTACCAAGAAGAACGTCAACATTTGTTATTATCATCAAATCAAAGGTTAGAACCATATTCATCAAAACATCGCTAAGATTCTTCATCATTAATGTTGTTTGATGCTTTTTGACCCACCTTAGGAATGTTAACAATAACCAAAAAGCTGCAGTACGACTGCTTAACATACAACTGCACTAATAAAAGACTAATTATAAATAAACAAATCTTGCGTATCTTACATTACAAAAATCGATAGCTAAAATCATTTTTGAAAAGTAAAATGATTTAATTTTAGAAATGTTAATCGTGATGCTCTTTTACATTTTGCAAATAATAACATGCCATTTTGGCGTTCTGACGTGATAGCGCAATGATTCAATAGGGATTATATATATAAGCCTGATAATTCGTTGGGTCGGCGTGGGGAGTCTCAGCAAATGGATATATCACTTCGAACTACTGATAAGTATCCCTCATTAAAGCGTGAAAGAAACCTGCATATACTTGAAAATAAGAAATGTGGATCTCTGTAAATGTAAATACCACGTTTAAAAGAGCAATAGCTTCAATTAGGCAGTTAGACAAGACAAAACATGCCTGGTATATTTATAAAAGACTAATAAGAGAACTAATGTACTTCACGTCACCTGTATCTGAGCAGAAAGTTGATAAACCAGGGTCTCGCCCTTAATATTCCGGAACAACTTCACAAAAATACATGATTGTCTTGAAGTATAGATTCTAGGTACTGATGTTGTTTATCATCTTAATAACGTGTTATAGTGTTCGTTTTATTTGTCTTTTTATATTCATAACCTTTAATGTTTAGTTCATTTTTAGTAATAGTCTTTTTGTGTGGCTTGGTATTCATACATCCCGCTATTAAGTTATTGTGTTATGGTCATTTTTGTGTTCGTGTCTTTCATGTTTGCTTAAGTACTTTGTCTATAGAGTGACTATATGCCATTTTGCTTTCCTTTGTTGAAATGGTTATTTGTTTTATAGTGATTGAGATTATAACACAACGTTAACTGCTGAACCCTAATTTTTGACATTTTTACCTATTATGCCTGTTTGATGTTACAGTCACTAAACCCAAAAATCATTTACTTTCTACCATTATCTCTTTTATCACGATAATGAAGAAACAAATGGGAATCCTGACTATTGTATCCGCATGACGTAGAGCCAATATCAAAAGCTTATACAAAAAGAACAACAACTTTAAATGCTGGACTAGATAAATGTTGTCGTTGAAAAAACAATACAGATTCATTTATCTCTGTACAGTGGAATATGACCCGCATCAGAGATATCCTTCTTTTTAGATATAAAACTGATTCGTCAGATATTGATTTTTAAATCCTTATGTAAATATTTATTGACTAAAAAAGATGTCATATTCCGAATTAAATAATGAAAATACTATCAATGCAATTAATTGGAAATTTAAAGACTTTGCTTGTCTATTAGAGTTTTTCATACTTCGACAGATGAAGTCTTAGGCATGATGGAATGTATGTCGATATAAATAGTTGTGTTAACATGGGAGCCTAACCAGTAAATCTTGATTGAGTGAATTTACTTTCCAACATTTCAAACAAACAAAAACCGTTAAGCTTATTCAAAATATTAAGAGGAATGTAGTTTTGGGATATGCTTTGGATTTTGTCTCGGAAACGTTTATTGTTTAATGATAAATTGATATTTTTTCAGAAAAAACGTGTCCACTGGATTATTGTCTCCACAATGGAACATGTACTGTGCTGGGTAATTCTTTCAACTGTGTTTGTCAGGATGGATACAACGGATCAAGATGTGAAGGTTGTAAACTTTAATTCAGAACAATGGCCTAGGATAACACTTTATGTCTTTGTTTTAACAGTAAAATGATTCTTTCGTTCAGAACGTTTACATGTTAAAAAGCAAGCTTTTGGAATGTTAAAAACAATCCTTTGAAAGGAAACATAAAGCTGGCTTTCCTATACTTGTATAATTTAATTCAAATTAAGGGTTGGATAGAAGATGTGATTAAACGAATTTCACATGCTATTATTCGAAAAAAAAAAATAGTTTCAACAATATATAAATGTTATGCATATCATTGCCTTCACCATATGATGTTCCCTCGTATTGATAAACGTAACGACCTAAAAGGGCATTATTCTTTCACGTTGTTAACATTAAATAGATAGACAAAGATAAAAAGATAATGATTTTTTTTCAACTTTCAGTACATATTTTCAATTATTCATTCAATCATTTCTACTGACTTTTTAATGAACTAATTAACTATGCATGGATGACCACAAGATTGTATTGTATATGATAATGTGTACCAAAGGCTATTTGATAATAACATTAAGTGTCCCAAATAAATTATCATGTGTTATAAGTTTTAAAAATTACTTCATGACAAAATGATAGATCTTTAATTCAGATGTTGTCACGCAAACTAATGTTGCAAGGGCTCAAATTATTTAAAACGTATTAGTAAGGTACTTGATCCCTATGATCATGAACTGATGCAAAATGGTAATGTTTTTAGAGATTCGCCACGAATCTCATTATGTTGATTGCCGTTAAGCAGCATCAATCAATCAATCAATCAATATATCTGTAAATTACCTATAGTTAAACAGTGAAATAATGATTTTTTTTTGTCTTCAATTATGTAGAATTATTTTAATGGGAAGCGCTTTTAGGGGATTTATTAACTTCCCATAATGGAACTTCCGAAAAAAGGGAAGTTGTGCGGCATTACGTCACTGAGTGGGAATTGTAGTACAGCCTGGCTCCTCCTCCTTTAACATCTTTACGATTTAAAGAATATATATTTCATATGCAAACACATCAACTATGACAGAAGGAATATTGATGTGTTCCTTTGACACAAGAAATATCAATGTTTTCCTTTGACACAAGGAATGCAAATGTGTTCCTTTGACATAAGGAATGTTAATGTTTTCCATTGACACAAGGAATGTTAATGTTTTCTTTTGACACAAGGAATGTTAATGTTTTCCATTGACACAAGGAATGTTAATGTTTTCCTTTGACACAAGGAATGTTATTGTTTTCTTTTGACACAAGGAATGTAAATGTGTATCCTGACACATACAGTCATTGTATCACCAAAACTACTTTTTTGTTCTTTATAAATGGAAAATAGTCATTTGTGTAAAATGGCTGTATACGATATAAAAGTTATCAATAGTATTTTGATGTTCTTTTACAGAAAAAACTAAAATTACTAAACTAAGACCAAAAGACTGTGAAGATATAATGCCAAAAGAACACAATGGAATTTATACAATATTTCCTATATCCAATGACAATGGTTTTGAAGTGTATTGTGATTTTAAAACGGATAACGGTGATTGGACGGTAAGAACGTTATAAATTTCAATTTTATTTTTATTAGTCCTCTTTATCAATTATTCAATTGTTTATATTTGATATGATACGAGTAAAGATAATCTATGGTCTTTACATTTTGTTTTGTACAAGTCAAGTATTTAGTCATTGTTTTCATGAAATAGGATAAATCAGTATGCTTAATCGATAAATATAGATTCTTACATTGATACCAGTGGTTTATCGGATTTATCCAATCGAGATAGTTAAATTATCAATTTTAAAGTCTGAGCCTTGGCGAGGACTTTAAAATTTATAATTCAACTATCGAGATTGGATAAATCCGATAATTCACGAGTAACTATGTAAGAATCTGTTTCTCTAATGATTAAAAAATACATTTTCATTCTTTGTTAAACCAAAACCCCCTTCGAGTGCCTTCCACATTTCACAAAGTTGTCAATTTCCTTAACACCTGTTAGCATATTTTGAACTGATAAAGGTTATAACCCTTAAATTCATCCAATCATCTTCTGAGATCACCGGCAACCACACGTTGATTAAATTTTTTCATACAATGAGTGCAGAAAGGTATAAATTGTCAAAGAATTAGAGAAATGCATTTATCATATACTTGTAGAAAATAATGATTTAATTGTACCCTTGATAAAACTAATTTATACATATTTTTATTCAAAAAATTCGAAGAATTGTCTTAGCCGTGTGATATGACTTTTGTTATCAACTGCTTCCGGTATATATCAACTGTTTCCGGTTTATATCAACTGCTTCCGGTTATTATCGCATGCCTTTCTTTAACGTAATCGCAAAGCATTTCGACGTCATTCTGCAAATTCCGGAAGATAAACCTCAGTGGTACATTTAAGTGAAGAACATAGCTAAGTAGAATAACAGAAGGAATATTAGGAAACAGGAAAATATATTATTAAAAAACGCAAAACAAATAATACAATAAATGAATTTTATAAAGTTTTAAAAAAGTTTTCATGTCTGTATGGCTTCTGCTGAAGTATATGATAAAAAGAACATAACATGTCATTTTTCATATCAGACCCCTTATCATCCCATGGTCAAAATCATCCCTCGAGCCTGTCGGCTCACGGGCTGATACCATGACCTAGGGCTGATAAGGGGTCTGATATGAAAAATGCCATGTTATAATCTATATGTATCAAATGATGCATTCTGTCTATCAAAATATTTTAGCACAATGAAAATAACACTTTATAAATTTCGAGGGTCTAAACGTTTTTTCTGGATTTACCATCATCAGGAACTGTTACACTCCAGGCAAAAAGGGGAAGAAAAAAACATATGATGTACTAGTATTTAAACAGTGATGACGTATATAACCAAACAAGAATTAAACAAAAAGTAAAATAACACAAATACTGAACTGCAAGGGAAATTTAAAACGGAAAGTTCTCTATAAAATGGCAAAATGAAAAGCAAAAACACATCTAACGAATATCATCTATAGAAACACTCATTTCAATGAGGTCAATATAATTCAACGGACATATTTTTATAGTTTCTAGAAATAGAATGAAATATTTCTCATCAAAATACAAAAACGAACTCTGTACAAAAGAAGATTTTATTCTAAAAAATATATATAATTGAACTAAAATTATTAACAATCAATTCGCAAAAAAATAAAAACAACTGAAGAAATCAAAACAACATTGTACAGTGTTTACAAACTTGCCTTCATCGTCTTAATGATTTAGTTTTTATCTAATCATGAATTTATAATATTTTCAGGCAAAATATTTTAATATAAATATTGATTTTACCGTTGTTGTTTGGTTTTTTTTAATATAGGTATTTCAGAGAAGAATAAACGGTCAAACAGACTTTTTCAGAGGATGGGAGGCATATGAAAATGGATTCGGTAATTTGGATGCTGAATTTTGGCTCGGTAATTTTTATGTATTACTTCATTTTCGAGGAGCAATTTCGATTGGTTATGTGCTGTGCAGCAAATGGTCCTGATAACATGATTTTGGATAGGCTTTCAAGATTCGGAAATTCCATTTCTCGCGGTAGTTCTGTGCTTTTAGCAATTACTTTCTGGAGTTTGGTTTTTAATGTTTTGTTCTCTTGCTTAAGAAACTCGATTTCCTGTCTGAGCGATTTTCTGTTTTCTTTCAATTGATCTTTTATTAAATCAACGACTGATTCAAGTTTCATGTTTTCTTTCAAAATTTGGGTTTGACTTGTTTGAAGTACATTTACCTAGAAATGTAGAATTAAATTTGTACGTGTTGCTTTACGAAATTCTGCATCGTCCAAGGTGAAGAAAGGAAAATTCTCACAAGTTTTACGCTGTATAAATAAGGAAAGTCTTTCGAAATTTCTGTCTAGCTTTTTCTTTGATTTTATTCTGATTTCTGCACAACATTGTTTATAAAAATGTCCTGATTGCCCACAGCGGAAACATCTCACTGTTTTATCGATATTTGAATTTGTAACACGAAGAAAATCAGAACGTTCTAAATTATAACCGTTTTCTACGAAAAATGGCTGATTTTCACATTGCACTTCTTTCTAAGATCAGGTGGACACCACCAATTAAATCTGTGTCTCAATTTGTAATCCATTATACAGTTGTAGAGCGTAGGTATGATCTTGTGTACAGTTTGTCTGATAAGTGTGAAACTAAGCAAACTGTCCCGGGTACCTCCAACAATTTATAACAGGGGTTTTCGTCGTTCCTGTTATATTTAGAATTCGGGGGAAAACTCACTGGCTAAAGTCAACAAAATGAGTTGAGCTTTACGATGGTTTATATATAACTTCTTCAATAGTGCAATACATTAATTACAATAAAAGTTCAACGGTAATATTCCGAAAAGATAAAACAAAATTTAATGGTAATTCCAATAAATGTTCTATACTAAACACAATGATTGTCACTGTAAATGCACGGCGTCCGTACAGCTTGGCCGATGGTATCCAACTGACCATTTACATAGAAACGATATAATATGAATTACGTAATCTTACGTAATCATAATTGTACATTTAATAATGAAATTTGTCACTTAATGATTCAAACGGTTTACTCCTGGTTTGCCCACAACTAATTATACCAATTATCTATTAGTAAAGAAAACAAAAAAGACAAAAGGTTTAATGAGCATACAATTGTATAGTCTGTTCCAACTTTATAGGTATATAGTTTATCTGCGTTTTCTATATATTCAAGTATTTTTCATTTTGTAGTTCCACTTTTATTTGTATGGATAAATAATATATAAATCAAATATTTTTTTTCACAATAATTTAATATCAATTCAATCGATTTATTTAACAGGCAACTTACATGACTAATGATAAAACAATGGCATTTATTTATAAAATTGTCTTAATAATTCGTCAGTATCTAAATGATTATGATATAAATACACCAATATATGATAAAGTTTTCTTTAATTGCAAACATAATTTTTTTAACTTGTGAATCAAATTTATACATGAATTGCACAAGAAAATAAAATAAAAGCATTATGGTAAAAATAAGTAATATGGGTCACTATCTGTATAATGATGAAAAATACAACATTTTATATATATTTCAAAAGTAACAAAACATTTATATATTAACAAAATCACAAAACATTTTGTTTACAAAGTCACTAAGTCACACATTACTATATTTCACAAAGTCATTCAGTTCAAATGAAGAAGATGGGATGCTGCGACAGAGTAGTCTATCACGTTGATGTGTCCGTGTTAGTATCTGTCTTTCAGTAGTTGGAGGCTGGTATCTATAACTTTGTATCGTCGTCTTTTTGGTGGGCAGGCTCCTCCTGCTGCATACTGGATAATGATACATTCTGTTAGTGCCTGATTCTTCTTGAGTAACTCGATGATCTCCTAAATGTTGGGGTGGGCATGGTGGAGTCTCTTCTTAATTTTGTTGTGCCAACCTTCCAGGGGGTGGTGATTCAGGTCCCAAGACTCTGTCATATAATCAGTAAATGATGTTGTAGCGGGTATGTTGTCAATGAAGAAAAATAGTAATTTTTACTTTAATTCCTAATAAGAAATCATGAAATTTGTTAATAAACTTGTGCTATAAAGTGACCTTTTCCTATATACATGCATTTAAAAACTCCATTTTAATTATCTATTTCTTACCTGTACATAGTGACTTTTTCATGTGCATTCCAACATACTTCTTATTAATAATTTTACTCAATCATATATTGTGACTTTTTTTCCTGTGACTTTTTTTCCTAGGGATTTTGTGACTTTTTTTCCTAGGGATTTTGTGACTTTTTTTCCTAGGGATTTTGTGACTTTTTTTCCTGTGACTTTTTTTCCGTTTACCGAACGAGAGATAATACTGCGGCTTGTCGTATAAGTCGAGTGATGTCTTCATTTTCTTTATAGTATGACTGTAGTCCACATTTCTGTGCCTTTCGCCAAATACACTGGGTAAAGTGGAAGAAGTAGCCTTTCACGGTTACCCCTGTGAACACTGTCGTTGTTGGTTTTTGTCTCGTAATCGATACATACTGTTTCTGGTTGAAGTTGAGCGATGTAACGTATGTGGCTGAAGAAGCGTGAGTAGATGATCTCGTCTTTTCCTGAAAGTAGAACATACAATAGTGGGAACATAGAATTTATTACAAATTGAAAGAAGAAAGTGCTAGCATGGATGCAGATTACTGTTCAAATTATGTCATTTGTAAAGCTTGGCTACTGAATAGTTGCATTTATATTTTATTTTTTAGAAATAATTGTTTAATTTCAGAACAAAGTATTTATTAAAATTAAAAAAAATAAATAAGGTGAAAAAATAAAAAGAAATTTAAAATATTTCATTATTTTACTTTTTACATTTTTTTCCAAGAATGTACTAACAATTTATAAATTTTGTCGATAATTTGTCAAAATAATAAACATTTTTAAATATATTTTTTTTTTTTAAATATTTGTCAAATTCAATACATTTTCCTGAAAACATTTTTGCACATTTTCTTTGATTTAATAGTAAAATTCAGTATCTTTTATGAAATGTACAGGTAAAATAAAGGTAAAATATGACTATATTTCAGAAATAAACTATAATGTATGTTTTTATAAACCTGCAATTAAATGTGGGCAAACCAGGATAACACCGATTCAAACAAATAATACAATTAAAAAACATATATATGATGACAAGAAATGGACAATGCTAGGATTAAAATGGATTAACTTCTCAACATGTAAGCTAACAATATCGAGAACAATAGTCGCTTGCTTGGTGTCTTCCTCCTATTCCCACTTTTTAAAAATCACTATTCCTTCTATTCCCACATGCAAATAACAATAGATGTTTTGATAAATAATTTGTTTTTATAACAATCAATGTTAATTAAGAATTCACCTAAGATTTACCTGTATTTTTTAAAAAAAAAACACATGTCTTACACTGTTTAAGTATATTATTTAAAAAAAAATTAATGCACTGTTTGTTTGTAATATGTTTTTTCTTCTTCAAAGAATTACCTTAAAATAAATAATAATAAGTCAGATAAATAGAAGTAAGATTAAAAAATTATTGAATTTGTAAACCTAACAAATTGTCATCCGACCACATGAAACTAATGATAGTTAATATTAAAACAAACTTTCCCATCTTGCAAGATTACCATGTACAACAAACGCAAATAGAACCTACCAGTTTTACCAAAATTGTTGATAAAATCAACAAAGAGGGTATTTGGGCACGTACTACCAAAGGTGACCCATTCCTGATAACAGACGACAACACAGTTGGGTGTATGTTAATATTCAGTGCTCAAACGAATCTAACACATAAGCAGCAGCAGATATCATATACTATTATGGTGAAGGTACATTTTACTCCTGTCCAAGCCTATTCTTCAAACTTTACACATTTCACGCAATGGTTGACGGCGCAATTTATTATCCACTGGTACATAGTTCACTTCCAGCCAAGAGCGAACTAATATACACAAGGTTCCTGACTTTACTCAAGGATGTATGTTGCCATCCGAAATGCAGCATATTATGTATTTCTTTACATCAACGCAAACCACTGTTTTTCCACTACACACAATGCATCTGGAGAAAAGCTCAATGAACAGGGATTCAGGTTTCATACAAGGAAGACAACAACATTCATCAACTAGTACGCCGTGCTGCTGTCCTTCCACTTGTACCTACTGCTGAGGTCGAAGATGTGTGGTTTAATGCCCTAACCGACATTGATCAGATTGATACTAACATCAGCTAAACGCCCTTTACAGACAATGTAACAAAATACTGATGGGACCATTACAAAACACAGGGACTGAGGACTACACATCATCTAGAGTGATGATAAAGATAGAATAACATATTGTAGATTTAGAACGGGAAACCGCAAGTTACCCATCGAAACTGGTAGATGGAATAAAATTGAACGTAACTATAGATATTGTAATTTATGTCAATGGAACGAGATTGGTGATGAATTTCATTACATTTTAGCTCTTTGGCAAATTTTCGAGCACAATATTTGGATACTTTTTTCTTGCATAGAATTAATACTAAAGTTTGGAAAACTATTTCAGTTAAAATACAAAAATAAGTTAAAAAAGCTGTTCAAATTTATCAGGGTTATAACTTTTCAAGTAAGTCTTCCTGGTTAATCACCACTCTTCCCAACTACTGTTTATTTTATTATTTTTTTTTGCATCTCATCCTGTCATGTGTGTTCATGTTATGTTATAACTTTTGATGAACTTCTTTGTACCATTGTAACTATATGGTGTTTGAGAAATAAAAAATCTTGAATCTTGTTAATTTGTATAGTTTGTTTCATATTATAATGCTTGCTTCGAATCTACTGTTGAATTTGTGTTATAAAAGAAATAAAATAATTTACTAATATTTGTTTCCATTTCTTGCATATTTTAAATTAAAAATACAGAATTCATACACATACAAAAATAACCTATTACCTATAAAAAAAACACTTGTCAATTAAAAGTTGATTAAACAATGTTTATACAGTATAATCCTTTGTTTGCACAAGTTTTCCCCCTATTCCCACATGCAATTTTAACTTTTCTTACCAGATTTATAAAAAGTGGGAATAGGAGGAATGAACCGCTTGCTTTTAGGTAAAATTTGAATTTCCACCAAATAAAACAAAGAGGAAAATATCGCTGTCACATACATAAGAACAATGTCCAAATGGTTTAACGTAATTTTTTCAAAGTATCGTAACAGTTTTGCAGAACTCAGTGTCTCAACTACGGTTCCTACTGTAAGTGAAAAGTGTAATGATGACTGCAAAAAAACTAAGTTCATTTCTCTGTAAAATACGGAAGGAGATAGAAACAATTCTTCATATGATATTTTCTTGATCACGAAAAAGCTACTATCCAAGTTTCGTAACAATTCATTAAGGATTGAAGTTCTTGATGTCTTATCCTAGACTGTATGTGAACGTAAACTTTAAAAAAAACTTACAATAAGCACAATGATAAAATCGGGAAATAAACATATGTTGTCCTGGATAATGGACAAGATAAGCTTCTGTCCAAGTTTTGTAAAGTCTCAAGAAGGTTTGACAAAATTATTTGTGTCCAAAAAAAAATCTTTAACCATGGACTGAACCTACATGTTCACGACGTAGACAACGACGGAATGTAAGCTCGCTATGTGTCGCCTTTGTGCCCTTTGTCACAGTCAAGCCAAAAACCATCACATATAATTTAGCTTTTTAATATCATTTTTAGGTAATCGGAAAATAAATGAATTAACGTCGAATGGAATACATGAATTACGGGTAGATCTTACTGATTTCGATGGCAACACAGGATTTGCAAAATATTCGACCTTCTGCGTTGGAAATGGGTCCACCAATTACAAACTCACAGTTAGTGGATATAGTGGGAATCTCGGTGAGTTAATATACAGTTATACTATATGTGTATGCTGTATTTAATTTGATAGGAGACATATGGCGCCTTTTTCATAAAAAAAAAGAAACATGCCCTACTTTTTCTGTGTTTAATTCATTCCGAATGTCGAGGTTGAATATATCCAGTGAATTTTTAAAATTGAATTACTACTTATATTAATATTCTAATATGATATCAACAATTGAAATATCTGCATCAAACCAAATGGCGATTTTGACATATCATTAAAATGTTAACATCTAAATTTTCTATCAAAATACATTCAGAAAAGTATAAAAATGATTTATTGTGTCCTTGAGATGAACGACATGGCTTAGAGTTTCGTTTTTATAAGGATAATAAATATACAGTATAAAGATAATAGATGTACAGTATACTCAAAATATCGTAAATAAGAATTGTTTTTTTTTTTTTTTATTTTTGTTGCTTAAAATCCAGTGCAAAAATACCGTGCATATTCAAGACAAAATTATCATACGTAAATTAATTGTTGCCTTATCAATGTTCCTTTTCTGCACTATATTTTGAGTCATTTCGATGCATTTGTGATAAGGTTATCAATCAAAGAAACAATATATGATATAATTAAATAATTAAATACTGTTTGAAAATAATGATAGCGTGTAAATATATTCAAGGTTAAATTGGCAACTTAAAAATTGTGTAACCTTTTTATGCATCAAGTGCATAAAAATTGGTATCGTTAATTTTATTTTTTAACCTAGTGGTATAACCTAGTGGTATAAATTTTATGTAACTAAATAAACAATAAGAATAATCTGTTACGATATTTTTTCATATATTTAAATTCTTTTGAATAGGAGATAGTTTGCCGTTCAATAATGGAATGAGTTTTACTACAAGAGACAGGGATAATGATCGTTCGGTAATTAACTGTGCAAATACTAACAATGGAGCCTGGTGGTACAAGTATTGTACATATGTCAATCTAAACGGAAAATATCTTCAAAAAGGACGGATTGACGGCAGGGGTATTACTTGGTACAAATGGAAGTCTTCACGCTATTCAGTGAAATCATCTGTAATGATGTTAAGAAAAGTTCCTTAACCAGGATAAAAATAAAAATGTTTTATTTCAGTTTGTGTATTTAATTTGTTTGATTATTTTATAATACTTCGTACGGCATTCAACGATGAGAAAACCCCATACCTTATAGTCAGCTATAAAAGGCCCTCCCATGGAAAATATGAAACAGTTAAAACGAGAAAACGAACAGTCTAATATGTATACAGAAAAGTTTCCGAAAAACAAATATGACAGACATGGACCAACGACAACCACTGAATTACAGGCTCCTGACTTCGAACAGGCACATAATGAACAAAGCAGGGTCAAACATGTTTGTCAGCGCTCAAGCCTTCCCTAACCTGGAACAGCGGTGTTACGGCACATGATAAGATTAATTGCAAATTGCTTAACTCAATAGATGTGTTAGAAGCACAAAATAACAAAACACAATAGACACAGAGCACCGATAAAAGAGTACTCACAAAAAAACCTAGTTCAGAGCCCATTACAACTAGTGAATAAATCGTGTTTTCCAAGACTAAAGTATTAATAACAGAACAAATCCAGCAGATTTTATGTAAGGATTTCATTTACAGTCCGAGAAACGAATAACCTTTTGCAATGCCAAAATATAAGTACAAAGTATCGACAGGATGTAGAATCATGAGCTCTCTTCAGGCTGATATTAAGTTGAAATTAAACAAAATAAATGGAACTCTTTATTAGAGAAGGTTAAATGGCCAAGTTGGTATACTTAAATTGTATACATATGTTTCTATGGGCTTTAAAGTTTAATGTAGGCGCATAATTCATGATGTTTTGCATCTTAGATACGTGTTAACAGTTAAATTATAGTATGGGCTCTGAGATATTTGTAAATATTAATTAATGACAAATTTTGGCAAAACAGTCGATTATGGTAGGTATAAATACAAGTGGATTTTTTGTGCATAAGCATAAATTCTGCCTAAAAAAATTAAAGCATTAGTTTGCATCCCTGCCCCGGCAACAGTTTTTTTGGAAAACAATCATAAAAATGGGCAGTAATATAATCGAAAAGTCAGATACACCTTTTTATGTTCCGTCGTTTTTGAATTTACTGTTTTGTCTTGAAAACGTATAAAGCAAACATATTTGATACATTATTTCGCTTCAAATTCCATTGTTTTATATATACATATATATATTTTCGTTTGGGCTTGTATTATATTTTCCTTCGGGTTTATATGATCCGTTCATCCTATTTCGACTCTTTAAAATTCAAGAGTCTTTCCTAAATTGAGGTAAATTATATGGCCTTCCAAATACCGTTTCGATCCCTAACATCACTGAAGAGACATTAATTGTGGAAATCCGGATATGGTGTACAAATTTTTGCACCTCATGTTTGTGGTATACCATCTTTTCCACAAGTTTATTGTTTTCTGTTTGGTATTAAATTAATATTAAGATCCATTTTGTTAGATCTGGTGATCAATTTATTTGGCAATCGCCAATGGCAGTCAGCAGGGTTTAAGAACATCAGTTGTTCGACCTGTTAGTCAAATGCGTTTTGTTAAAATAGACTTTTTCACTTTTTTTTGGTCTTTTGGAAATTGTTGTTTGTGCTGTATTTAGACCCCCTCTACCAAGAAATTTGTTTTACATGCACACGTATAAAAATTGCGGTTTTTATCTAACGCAATCATAGGTTTGAACGTTGTTTTCAATTTAGACTTTTATATATATATATATATATATATTTTAGTCTACAAGTTGATAAGATAATAGTAAAAATTCACCATACAAAGACTTGAAAGACATGGGTTTAGTAAAATACCTTTAAATGACTCTTAACAACAGAGTAGGTTTCCTTTAATAACAAAACAATTCTATTCTATTTTGTTCACTCATTTCTAAATAAACATTCAAGCATATAAGTATTCTGTTCATGAAATGTACTACAGAAGGAGAAGTCGGACACACCGTCAATATACACCCCTTAAATATTTTCTTTAATTGTTGATCTTTTTTATGCACAAAAAGTCATGTTATATGTGTGCAATCTAGAGTAATTAGTCTTAAACTCCTGAAAATTGTAAGTCTGCCTTACCACGGAATAGTTAATTAGAAGTGTTTAATGTTTTGAGAACTTTCGAAAAATTCCCCCTAACAACCGATCAGACAATAGTTCTGAGTTGAAAAAAGGCATGAAAGTACATTAAATTATGCTTAATGGCTAGTATTTACAGTTGGTTGTCTTTCAAATATCAACTGTCATGTAAGGAATGTAAGTATGCTAAGTGGATAAATTTGTCAGTTTTCAAGAGCTAAAGTAACTGCTTGTCATCCCAAAAATGTAATGGGGAGATATTTTTGACGAATTGAATACTGACTGTGCTAACAGAAAAAAAAAATTGATTCTAAAAACTTAACGTAATTGATATGGATGTCTTCCCTATGGTAAACGGTAGTGATCGGTCGTGAAAATGACTGACTAGTTGCAAAGTCGTTCAAAGGTGACGCTTACTACGTATCTCTCCTGAGATTTCACACTCAAAGAAACAATAATAAAACTGTTCCCGTTTTAAGGCCCTTACCAGTAGTGACACGTTAGCCTTTTACGTTGGACTAAACAAAGTTGGCGGGAATTTTGTTTTGTTATTTTTTACCTAAGCATAAAAGACATTTGTTTTGAAAGAATTTTCTTTGACACTGCAGAAGATCCTGTTGACAAAGAAAAGAAAAATAAGGAATCTTATTTTGTTATTTTTGACGTAAGAATTGAGACACTTGGCACAAAATGATAAACTAAAGTACAAAATCAAGGAGCTAAACACTATTATTTAAGTATCTATATCACGAAAAATTTAAAGTTTGCCAAGATGTACGTCAGCATGTCAAATTATCATCAAATCCAAGATTAGATGAATATACGTTAACACATAATTAAGCTTCGGTTTCATTTATGTTAAGTAATTTATCAAAGGAGATGATGTATGACTGCCAATGTGATAACTATCCACCTATATTCAAATAAGGTGGATGTAAGCAGTTATAGGCTCATATACATTCTATAGAGTGTCCCGGCTGTCCCTTGATCAACCTCGGACTTCAGAGTTATTGTTAAACAGATGTAGATATAAAATGATCTGTTAGAGTATATAAAGGTCTAAGTCTCTGTCCTCTTTACCTACTCTATAAAATGGTCCACTTTGATAGACGAAAACAATTATTCCTCGAATCATAAACTACACATTCTATAGAGTGTCCCCGCTGTCAATTCTTGGGATAAAGGTACTTAACAGAAACAGTGATTGATTCTTTAGATTATTGACCGTCGTCGGACTTCAGAGTTATTGTTATACTGATGTAGATACTAAAATGATCTGTGAGAGTATGGAAAGGTCTAAGTCGTTGTCCTCTTTACCTACTCTATCAATGGTCCACTTTGATAAACGAAAACGATTATTCCTCGAATCATGATTTGCAGTAATTGATTTAAATTAAAAAAAATAGAAAGAAATAAGACGCGGTTGTACTAATAAATATCTATTTAAATACACTACTCATAGATACCAGGATAAAAATTGTGTACGCCATACGCATGTTTAGTCTTCACAAAACTCATCCGTGACGCTCGAATAAAAAAATGAAATGCCAAATAAAGTACGAAGTTGAAGAGCATTGCGGATCGAAAATTCCAAAAAATGTTTTGCAAAACAGCTAACTTAGGTAATCTAATTATCCTTTATCAGCGAACTCCATAATATAATGGAATTCCGTAATTTTTATAGAAATTTTTGAAAAATTATAGCTATTTCCCTTTGACTTATAAGCTGAATGCTAAAAAAGGTGGGAGATAAACTATATTGTCAAACATGACTACCAAAAAAAGGGAGACAAATGGAATTAATTATCTCGTTTTTGACAGTTTATTCTTTCTTGAAATAAAACGACAAATATGACAACATGAATATCGTCACACGTGAGATGATCTTAAATTAATCTAAAATTAAACATTGATTTAAACCGTCATTTATATTGGTGTCAAAAATTTCGTTATAGCAAAGTTTGACACAAGGTTTGTTTTGGGTGTTTTTATATAGATCTAAAATATGAAAATTATTATTAGAAATTCAATTCCAATAATGGCACAAATTTTACCGCAATAGATGCAAATTTCAATAGTTATTTAAGGCCAAAATATTTAAAAATCTAAAGCTTACTACAAACATTGAAGAGTATTTAAGTATGAAAACTGATATTAGTTAATAATCAAATAATACAGAAAAATGCTAGTTCTTTTTGTAAGAAACTAAAAGTAATTTATTTGAAAAATTGTCTTCCAAAGAAAAACCTAGTTGTACAATACGATACAATAAAATTTTAGAAGTCTACTGTAATACTCGAAGCTCGGAGGACTGAGTGCCCACATTTATCTATTTATGCTTGCAGTGAGCTGATGAGACATCAAGTATTCCACCCTTTTTATAAATCATAAAAATTAACAAAATTACCTTTGCATATATTTTTCCTAACAAATAAAACCTTACTATGGTTAATGCAAACTGATTGTTTTCATAATATTCATATCTATAATATTATTTAGAGAAATTGATAGACTTCGATTTAATCAATAAACTATTAATTGTTGACATGAGGCATTTCTTTTTTTTAAACTATATATATTAAGGATGTGTAACTAACACATACGTCTTTGACTATATCAATCGTCATTTTTATTGAATGGGATAATACTTACAAAAATTAAACAAATGTAACACTATATAAATAACACATAGCTGAGAGGGTGATAGAGCAGATTGTTACCCCGAGAAAAACATTGTCAACTGAGGCGAAGCCAAGGTTGACAATATCTTTTGACGGGTAACAATCCGCTCTATCACCCTCTCAGATATGTGTTATTTAATTTATTATACTGAATGACTGTTCTGCTATTACTGTCTATTAAATTTCAAATTTAAAGTAATAAACTATGACGTCTTGTACATAACAATCATCATTATTTATTAAAGCGCACACTTGAGCAAGCGTCTCCGTGAAAGGTAATAGAGTTTTTGCCATGG